TTAATTAGAGAAAAAAAAAAAGGACAAAAAGGTCCAACGTCGAGCAAAAGAGTAACCGAAGAAGCATAGAATTGCATAGCACATGCTAAAACAAAAGAAGATAATAAAATTGTAACAAAAAAAATGCAAATCTTCGAAGCATTGCAACTCAGCTGCCTCATAATAATGCCCGGCAACAAAAGAGCTCATAGAAATTTACTATCAAAGAAGAACTTATCAATTAAAAATTTTCAAGGAAACCCACAGATGTGCCACTGCACACATGTCTAAATTAGCCACATGGCATCTTTGCAAAACGCAAAATGCAACAACGGTTATTTTTCAGCTTCACAACTGCACTCTACGTTGATTGCTCCTAACCTCTTCAATGTATTTTGATAGCAAATTCCGAGTGATACATTATACACATAAGAAAGAGCTACCTATGTATCGTCTTAGTTTCTTTCTTTCTTTTTTTTTTTTTTGCATAAAATTCTCCCCCCTTTTATTCATTTATATTATTTATTTTAGTTAAGAGAAACTTCAATGATTTCCTCTTCTCGTCTATTAAAACATTCATCCCAGTCAAGGTCCTCCCTATCTGTTACGAACTGGGCTTCTTCTGTTTCATCATTTTTATATGTATAGATTGCGAATCCAGCCATTGAACAATTAAAAAATACTAGAATAATTCCTGCGGCATATCTAAAACTCGTCCCTGAGTTGTTTCCGCCTGAATTATTACTTTCATTATGAGATTCTCCTTTCCGATTTTCATCAAAGTGGTTGCCAGCAGTATTATTATTTTCATCTAATCCATCCACTTTATACAGAGAGGTATTAGAAGAATCTCCTTTCGAATCGCTACTTACATCATTTCGTTTACGCTTATTTTGGTTATCATTTGACTCTTGTGAATTTTCTGAATCGTGTGCGAGCTCACCTAATGGTTCATCATCCTCATCACGAGAAGCATTCTCAGTTTTGAGCTTAGCTTCCTCGTCTTCTAATTTCTTTATTCTCAGTTTAGTATCATTTATAAAATTTTCCAACTTATGTATATCCACATTTAACTTGTTTAACAAAACATCCACCTCGTTAATATATTTTTTCGTATTTATACACACACTGCTCTTCATATTTACAGATAGAATACTAAATATATTATCTATGTCTTTTTTCTTTAATAAAATTTTATCTTGAGCAGTGTTCATAGATTGTAATGTCTTGTTTACCTCTCCATTATAGGATTCAATATTTTTTTTGGCTTTTAAAATAGATTCCACGCTACGATGATTTTGTGTATCTTTTATTTGTTTATCAATATTGTGAGAAATCTTTTCGATATATGCATCTATGTTGACACCTTCCATTATTTCGTTCAAAATGTTTTTTATATCCTTCAGATAATCCGCTACATGAAAGTAGTTATCATTTTCTGGACAATTTTCCGAGAACCTTGCCTTAATTTCATTAGCTCTTTTCCATATTTCGTATATGTCTTTATTTATATCTTCATTCTTCTGTATGTGCGATTTATTTTCCTGAATACGTTCTAACAACTTTTGAAATGCTTCCATAGTATGGTTTACTTTTCCTTTAATCTTTGTAATGTACTTTTGAGTAGCATCATCAGTTAATTCTTTCGCCGCATTATTGCTTACTACATCGTAATCATTTAAATCAGTAAACAAAGTATTTCCTCTGTTTATAAGATGGGAAACATCTTCTACACAGGCTTCTACCTGTTTTTTTTCACTGTTATTCGACTCCTCTACTACATGCAGCTTTTCCATATTGGTTTCAATATTCTTACACACATTGTTAAAGTTTTGGATGGACTGCAGTGTGTATATACCATTGATACCTTTCAGTTTCCCTTCAGTTTCTGTTATATTTTTTCTGATATCTTCCAGCATCCTATGATTGTCCAACAATCTTGTTATTTGAGTATTGAGCACATTTTTAAATTTCTCATCTATTTCTAAATATTTATCTGAGCTACTTTCTATTTCTTTCAATTTTACCAAATTGAAGTTTTTGTAAACGTCGTTAATGCTCTTTATTTTATCTTTCAGTTTGTTGTAATGTCCCATAATTTTCTCTTTACTGCTATTTAAGGAATTCATTTCTACCTCCAGATTTACGTCTATGGATTCTTTTTTTATATCGTTAACTATTCCTGTTGTTTCTTTTTCCTTTTCATTTAAATCATTGGCGTGTTTAATTACTTCTTCCAAATTTCTCGACTGGTAATCATTTATCTTGTTGGTATCGAAGTATTTATTTAATGCACGAATGTCATCATTCATCAAGTTCAAATTTTTCTTAATATATTCTACGTACTTTTCTGCGTTCTCTCTTTGGTTATTTATTAATCTTAAGTCACTCAACGCTTTGGCATTTATATTACCAATTAGGGAAGCATAAGAGGATTTCTCACATGTCATTCCTGCTACTAGTAACTCGTTAAGACTAGTCATAATTGTTGTAATTCTACTATTTATGCTATCTATTTTATTATTAATTCCTGTAAGTACGGAGTTCTCCTTGATAATTATTTCGCCTGCTGATTCAGGTTTTTGTACTGTTTCAAATTTATTATCTAAGCTTTCTACGTTTTTCATGATATCTTGAAATTCTTCATTCACTTTGTTGATCTCCGACTTGTATACTTGTTCATTCTTCTTCTTATTGTAGGCATCACTTAATTCCTTCAATTTTGTAAATTCTGAGCTCTCCATAATTTTGTTATCGTTCACGATGCTGCAGGTCATAGCGTCCAATTGATTATACTTCCTCAAAGCGTCATTAATTTTATTTAAGGTAATGCTTCCTCTATATTTTGTGTACTTATATTTAGCTTCTAATTCATTGGATGATTTAATGTTGTGACATACATTGTTCCCTTGCCTTATCCAGCCTTCGATTTCTCCTTTTTTCCTGTCTGTCTCCTCTGAATCTTTAAATATTTTTTTAATATATCCATAGGTCACTTGTAGGTTTTTGTAAGGATCTAATTTGGCATCTTTTTCCGACTTTATTTCTACCTCCCATTCAAAATTTAACGTTGAATCAGGCTGTGAAATCGTTCCTAGGTGCATTTCCGGGCTCAACTCGAATCCTGAGCTTGTTAATATTTTTATCCCCATAAAATTAGACGCTTTTATCATCTTCCCAAAGGCATTATGTGCCTCATTTTTATTACACTGATGTGAGCTCTTTTTTAATTTGTTATCTTTATCTTCTGCTAGTTTGAAGGTTTCGAATGTACTCTTCTCGTCTGTTAATTTTCGAATTGTTATAATAATTCTTTCAATATCTGCATGTCCTTCGCCCACTTGGGCATTCTCTTGTTCACACGCATGTTTAATCTTATCCACATATTCCTTTGTATGAAACAGAAAGTTCATAAATTCATGCTGCTTTATTTCGCTTAAATTCCTTTTTGCAGCTTCTTCCTTATTGTTAATATTTATTTGTGCTTTTTCAGCTTCCTCCCTTAGTCTTCTAGCTTCATTATGCTCTACCGTTGCTTCTGCAACATTTGCAGCATTCCTTTTGATTACTTTGTACGACTCTTCAAACTCGTCATATAACCCTTTCATGCTCTTTTGATAATCTATAAATTTTTTCTTAATGTCGTATTCTTTCAAATATGATTCATTAAACAGCTCGGTAAAATACGACTCGAGCGAATTTAACGACTCCCTAGTTGACTCAATAAGTTTTTTCTTTTCATCAGCCATTTCTTTGGCTTTTTCCAAAATGCCGTCTTCGTAATTTCTTTTACATTTCTCCAATTCATTTTCTATTTTAAGGATATTTTCGTGTATTACATCCACGTTGCTCTTTTCATCCGTCATGAGTTTCTTTTCACTTTCAATATCTTTCAAATATTGTATGTAATGCATTTCTTCCCTTTTCAGGACATCAAAAGAGTTATCCTTTTCAGATATAGACGCCCCTAATATGGAACTATTTAAATTATTCGATTTGACGAGAATGTTATTCACAATTTCTTTTATATCTTTTATCTGAAGTAAATTAGACTCGATTAGTTCTAAATTTAATTTCACGTTTATGTATGCCATCTTGGATTCTTCATTATTCAATATATCTGCTTTTTCATTCATTTGGGATTCCTTCTTCCACTGTTCTAATTTTGTTTCAGATTCGTTAAGTTTTCCTTCGATGTCTGCATGCAATTGTTTGATTTCATTCATGATATTGGTGGCCTTGCCCTTCCCCTTTGCATACATGATCCTTATTTGCAAAACGGAAATGTCATTTAAGAGACTGTTCATTTTTCCTTCATATTCCACATAGCTATTACCGAGCTTTTTTATTTCTTCTTCACTCTCCGCAGCGTCATTTGCTAGAGTCATACACTGGTTTACACATGTGCTTACTTTATCCATATCAATGTCCAGTGGAGCTTCTTCGTTCCTTTCCTTCAAATGTTTTAGCCTATTATTTCTACTATATGCGTTGTGGTAATACAGAAAAGCATTATCCCTATACTCTTTGGAATCTTTCAAATACGTATTCATTTCTTCTTTTCGGTGTTCTATTTCGTCCTTATATTTCATAATTTTCTTCACGATTTCATCGATTCGTTCGAGGGGTAAATTTTCATTCATCTCCGTTTTTAACCTCGTTGCATCTGTGAAATGTTTATCTAATTCTTTAATTAGGCCATCTGATTTTGCCTGCTCATTTTTCACCAACGTGGAATATTTTTGCGTTTCTGTCACATCCTTCTCCACAAGATGCATAATTCCTTGAATATTCCCATCCAACATCATTTCCTTCATTTTTTTAATATGGTCCAACATTTCATGCAAGGTGCTATTATTTGTTAAAATGTCTCTCAAATAACCATCAATCTGCTTTTTAATGTATTTTATTTCGCTAATACTTTCGCTATTCTCACACTTCCAATTTAACCAGCTAGCCTCGTTAAGAAGGCGTTTGATTGTCCTATGACTCCTTATCGCTTTTCCGTAAAATTCGGTATACACAAATAAAGAGAGATGCGGATGTTCTTTTTCCGATTTTTCCTTCTTCATTCCATCCATGACATGTTTATATGAATTAATTTCTTCCATTTTATGCTCAGACATTTCCCACTCAGTGGTAATCCGATTAACCATATCGTGAATTCCGTTTTTTTCAATTTTCAATTCTATCTTCTGTAAATCTGTCACTGTATGTATTTCCCTCAGTGCTTCATTCAATTGTTCTGATACACCTCTAATTTGTTCGTAAACTTCTTTCATGGCCTTTTCCTTGGCCTTGAATTCTATATTTTCACTTTTCCTTTGATTTGCTTGTTCCAAGTATTGATTAGAACTTCTTCTAATTATGTTCAGCATTTCCTTTTCTTTTTCGATCTTCACAACAAAACCTTCCACTTCTGCATTAAAGTGTCTTGCATTTTGTTTATTTTCATCATACTTGTAGTGATTAATATCTCTGACAAAAATAGGCGCCTTTGATTTTGCGATAAGTTCATCGAACGAATTTACATGTTCCTCCACTTTTTTATTTATTTTTTTATCTTTGTCCATTATTATGTTACCTATCCATTTTATAATTTCACTGTTTTTGCTACTCATCAGATCATCCGCTTGCTTCTTCAATATCTCGTATTCGACATTAAGAGCGTATATCAATTCCTTCGCGCTTTTCCACTCTTCATTTTCTTTTATTTTCTTCAGGTCCGTTTCGTTTAAGTCTTTATATTTTTCCTTCGAACTTGTGTAAAAATGGAGAATTTTTTTGATTTGTGTCTTTAAGGTGGTCAAATTGTGATACAATTTTCTTTCAAGAGTGATGTGTGTGTTGTTTAATTTTATTATTAAATTTATCTTCACACGTTGATCCATGAAATTGTCTTTTTCTATTTCGTTTCTTTCGGAAATGATTTCTTCCTTTAGTGAATTATTTTTGCTAATTAATTCTTCGATTATATTGCTATCCGTGGAGCAATCTTTAATAGACCTGTTTAAAATTTTCAGGTTACACAAATTTTTATTTGATTGGTCCACTTGTTTTATGATGCTATCGGATAATTTATTGTTCCTCTTGAAGTCTATTTCGTATTCTTCCAATTTGATATCGATATCTTCGTTATTAATTTCTTTTATTAACTCGTTATACTTTTTATTCGCTTCCTCATTGATAATGTTATATCTTTCCGGCACATATACATAGGATATAAGATAGATCCTAGCTGTTTTTAGGGCCTCTTTCGCTATATGGAATTCTTCAAACACTTTACTTCTTTTCTTGAGGAAATTATCCTTATGTTTGAAAAAATTTGCGTAAGCACTTTTCAATTCTAACATATCATCATCCTTATCATACCCTTTGTCAAAAAATTCTTTCTCCCCTTTTAGTATAACCTTTTTGTATTCTTCAATCTTCCCCTTTTCCGCTGTATACTCTGCGGTGCTAAGTTTTAATTTGTCGTAAACACTCTGAAGTTCCTCTAACGATTTTGTTAATTTTCCATTGAAATCTTCATATTGGATTTTTAAGATTTCCTCCTTGGTGTCTGAAATAATTTTGAGTAGATTCGTTATATTCTGCAAATGTTCTGATATTTGATCACATTTCATAGATTTCATCTTCTCATAATAATCTTTTATATTCTTGAACACGCCATCCAGTTTGTCCGTAGAACTACTGCTATTGATAGAATTTATATTTTTGTCCATATTTAGAGACATTTGTTTGAGAAATTCCCTCAAATTGTCTTTATATACATCTTTAATAATCATTTCTATATTATTATAAGCGTCCCTTTTCTTATCTATAATTTCCTTCATATCTAATGATGTTCCCATTATTAATTCATCGATTTCCGCAATATTTGCCTTCGCTTTCTCTTCCAGGGAGAGTATTTTTTTTAAATTGTTAATATTTTCCGTTATAAACAAAATTTTCGACACCACTTCTTTTTCAATATCATCGTCAGTTGATACCTTAACCTTTAAAGCATCTATTTCTTTCATGTACCCTTCGATAGAAGTTTCTAATTTTTCGATTTCTGTTTCTACATCCTTAGCGATGGAGTAGGTGTTATATACAGTATTGACACCTTCATTCACCCTGCTAATTTGGATACTTATTTTTTCCATTAATGTTATGAGACCATCGAATTCGTACTCTCCCGTTTGTTCTGTTTTGAACTCACTCTTCAGTTCCCCAATGAGCGATTTCGCTGACATGACAATTACATACTTCGATTTTATGATATTAGATAGGTCCTCTAGTTTGTCTACCAGACCTTCCCACGTTGCTAGTTGTTGGTTAACCTTATTTCTGACTATGATAACTTTTAAACTTTCATTCCCTATGTATTTTTTTATCTTGGTCAAATTTCTATTGTACACATCTTTGGCATAGTCCAAGATAAAATTGCAGTCAATACGTATCGAGTTGTAGTTTTCCTGAAAGGCCTCTGTCTCAGCAAAGGAGTTAAGTTTATCCTTCAACTGCCCCGCTAAAAAAATAAATAGTTTCTTAAATTTACTTGTTTTTAAATCGTACAATGCTTTCATCCTGTTGAACATCCTATTGTTAAATTTGTACAGGGACATGTTTTTTGCCAAGTCAAAACTTTTCTCTACCAACCATTTCTTATCTGAGGCGCTAGACTTATCATTTATTTTATGCTTCCTTATATTATCGATAGCGTCTTTTATATTCTTTATGTGATAATTGTAGTTATTTATGATGTTATTAATTTCACCTTGTAGGAACTTTATAGAACTTATGACATTCTCTGATGCTATTTCTTTCTCCATAATGCTAACAATGTTTGTTCCAGATTTTAAAAATTCCTTTGCATCGCTGATATTAGAATTATACATAGTGTCGGCATTATTATTCACGTACGATAGGTACACATCTACACTTTCGAAATAGACGTCCGAATTGCACTTACTAGAACAATATTTATTTTCATATTCTTCTTTGATGCTTTTCTTAACATCCTCTATCTGCTTTTTAACATTTCCACTATCCTTTTCTAAGCAATTTACATACTCCTTTATAAGTAATTTGTATGTAGTGGAATTCTTTGCTTGTGATACGGGTTTGTCACCTTCTGTCAGTGCGTGTTCTAGGCTATTTATTTCGTTTAGTAGCTTATCTTTTTGAGGAAGGCAGGAATTCATGGAGAGTTTCATATGATCATACAAACTTTGTATCCTGGAATCTTTTGTTGTCCCAGAATTATAATCATTATCTTCAATTTCTTCCTCCTCAACATCGCCCCTATAGTTACCGCTAAAATTGGTTAACGTCTGACGGTTTATAAGACGCACAATTTCTTTGCACGTGTAGATGTCCACATAATATGACTCTAATGAAGAGACTCGCTCTCCTGTTTCACCTACAATTTCGAAGTAATCTAAAATCTCGCCTACATTGGAAACGTTCATATTTTGTAAAAAGGAATTGGGACTTTCATTATGGTCATTCTCTGCCTCCTTCTCAGTACTACTCAGATGTCTATCCAAATTGTCTTCACCGTTACTTTTAATATATGCATAGCGCAATGGCTTCCTTCTAAATCTGCTATCTCTTAATTGGATAAGCGCTTCCTTTTTAAATAACCCGGATCCGTTTCCATTCTTAGCGCTGGGTGTGCTATCCTTCCAATATCCCTCCTCTCCTGGGGACAAAGTATGTTTCTGCAAAATTTTGTTCTTCCTTCCAGGGTATTGTGACTCATTTTTTATACCCCAATAAGAATTAACAGAAGAGCTCATTTCCTCACTTTTGGGTTTATTCGATTCGTTTATGACATTTTCCAAGCTTGCACCTACAACGTGTGTGGAAGGTTTAACAAAAAGGGGTAATTAGCACAGGATGTAGAATAATACCATATAAATCAGCCCCAATGGGGGGTCATTAATCTGCCGATTTGTCACCCATTCGAACTGCGCCTGTGCGCATCTGTAATGTGTGCATGAAAATCTACTACTGCCCTCTTTTTTGACATTGTACCAATAAGAAAGAGAAGAACTCCGAAGAATACTCCCCACCATCCGTTTTTCTTCATTTTAGAAACTGTAGATGTGTGAAAGTTCACTTTGCACTTTTACAGTAATGCTTTCCCTTTTCTTCTCCCCCTTCGGTTATAATTTGATTCTACATGAGCTTTCCGTTTCCTAAGCAAGTCTGCTTCGTTATATATATATTTTTTTTAAATTATTTATAAATTGCACGCATTATATCTTTCCTAGAATGATCTCTGAATAGTGAAACACCTGCGGTGAAAGTATACGTATTGTGGGGAAATCTTAGTGAGAAAAATACACTTGTTGCACATAAGCACAAATATGTACACGCACAAGCGTGCACTTATGTGTGTACACTTATACAACACACATAGTAAATCGACTCGCGCATTTCTGGGACCTAAAATCGTCAACTTAAAATTGAGAGAAACTATCGCATTACACTGGTATGTTGAGTGCACATGCGCTAAAGTTATAGCAAAATTGCTTTCATTTTACCTTTTCTTCCTCTTTTACAACGGAACGATTCGATAAGAGGGATTCGCAAAAAATAATATTAATAATTTATGGCACAAAAAAAAAAAAATGAAAATTCACACAATTACCCCAAGTAGTTGTCATAACTTACAATGGAATATTTTTTTTTGTAGAGAAAAAAAGAAAAAAACAAGTTCCCTTTTTAATTCCTGTAATTATCTACATGGATCTAAAAAACTCGTGTTCCCGAAAAAAAAAAAAATAAATAACAATGGAAAAGGTAATTTTAGCTAAAAGAACACCACAAGGAAAATTTAAGCAAATGTGTTTACACCAATTCATTCATTCTCCTAAACAGAAAAAAAAACTGTCATTTTATCCTTTCCTTTTTAAAAATTTCAATTTCTTAGTAGCGAAAGGGTAAATATTGACAATAAAAAATTTACACAAAAAGGACGCCAAACATGGTAGTCGTTGTCGAATGCTGGGCATAAATATATTCTCAAGTTCGCCGTCGTAGAGAACAAAAATTAGGGATTAATGTTTAAGCACCCTCCTTTCACACAGGGGCAACTTCAGAAAGCATTTGTCACAACGTAGAAGAGATTGATAAGAGCACTGCCATTTTTTCATTTAATTATAAAAACTGAGTTTTCTAAAAGTAAAAAAAAAAAAAAAAAGATGTTTTTTCGCGCTAATTTAATTCAAAAACAAAAGGTAATTTTTTTCTTTGTTCTCCATGTAGGACTAATTTATGTCAGAACAAAAAGGATTTATTCTGTTGTTACGCGCATGTATAGGTGTATGAATTTATACCTATACACATGTACGTGTATTTAAATTTCACCTTGTGGTGAAATTTTCTGAAATAGATAATTGCTTAATGAGGAAAAACATATTCGAGTTCTTTCGCTTCCTTCTCTTGTTAACACAGTTTAACCCCTTTCTCATCAATTAATTTCACATGCATAATGTTTAACAAAACTGGTTCACCAATATCAGTTTCCCTCCTACTATGAGACCTCTCATTTCCATCACATCTGTACGAATTGGAACATAAATAAATTAGATTATCTATTTTGTGTTTTTTTTTTTTTCGCATAGTCCACCTGTTGCCCTTCCTCTTAGCCCCCACCCTATTTTAACCCTTTAAAAATAGTTCAGTCAAATTTTAAAGCATAACGCCGGAGTTTATGTTTTCACTACTTGATAAGTTCAGTCAATCAATGTATACCTCGTGTCGTCCCTACGGAACTGTCACTGTTAAAGGAAATCTTTCATAAATAGGCATCATACGCTTCCCTCTGCAGGACCATTTTGAATTTTCGTTTTATTTTGCTTCTTTTTTTTTTTTATATTCATTTTTTTCATTTTATAATTACCTCCATTGAGAAAAAATTGCTTCCACTGACTTAATTTCTCCTGTGTATCAATGGGTGTGTTTGAAAAAGCGGCTGAAAATTTTTTTAACTTTCCGATAAAACTCTAATTTATTACTCCGTGAATCATTTCGTTGTATAGATAAAAATATACACATGCTGTGCATCTATGAAGCCGCCATTCCAATCCAGGTGCACAAAGAAGGGGTGCTTCACGTAGACATTTAGCAGTAAAATATATTCAAAGGACAAAACAAAATTTTATTACGCGTGAGTAAAAGGGTGATGAAACTTTGGAAACTACTCTACGATGCGATTGATTTCTTTTATGTCATTAAGTTTTTTCTAAATTTTCACAAAATGAAAAATCTCTAGCATATGGAGGTACAACGAATAAGCTCTAAGAAGCGGAATGAACGAAAAAGGGAAGCGAATCAGTTGCTTTGGTTAATTCTGCTACTGTGCTAATATTTGTCAAGCATGAGGTAGGATGTACTTCAGGTAGTCTGTATAGAACTGTGGAGGAGCCGCCCCTATTTTGACACCTCCTTATAAGGTGCGTCCATTTTTTTAGAACGCCATTTCTTGTAAGATAGAAAGACTCATCGCAAAGACACATGCACAACAAGCAGAGTTACATTTTCGCTCTCTTCCGTTTTTCATTTTTTATCTTTGTTGAAACTTTCACGTCCTACCACCCAAAATGGTATAAGGGTAGGCTTACCACCTCTGGTTCTCATGTTTTTCATTGTTCACTATGGAGGGGTCGAATAATGCATGGGCACACGTTTATACCTATTTGTGTTACTCCTTAGATGTAGACGAACGTATGAAAAGAGAAACAATGCCCACTTCCAGTTTTCACGAATTAGACGAAAGAGAGACGGGGAGCACTATGTGATGAACCATTCTGCTAATGACATGCTGCTACCATTCAGACTAAATGAAAACTTAAAAGGAAAAGAATGTCACAAAAAAAAAAAAGAAAAAACAGTGTCTCACGGCATACTGTTACTATTATAACACGGTTTTCGCATCCAGAAAGCATAATATTATATTGAAAATGTGTTAATGAAGAGGAAGTAAAATGAAGGAAATGAAAAAAATTAAGGAAATTAAGAAAATGAAAAGGGACATCCAAATGTTTCTTTCACATGATTTTCAAGAGGCAGCCACATTTTTATCGCTCAGGGAGCTTTCCTTTTTTAATGCTATCGAAAAACCTTTTTCGAAAACGGAATTAGTAGAACAGAGTCCTGAGGAGTAAGCAAAGAAAAACGCGCCAACCGCATAAAGAAGTTAAATTTATAATCTGCCCGAAGAACCTGCTTTAATCATTCTTCTTTCAAAATGGACAAAGTCCTATTCGACTGAATTGTGTCGCATATCATATGCCAGGATTTGTGGATAGCAAAAAAAAAAAAAAAAAAAAGGGGCTGCAATTTTATATATATACATGGAAGAATGGTAATAATATAAGGCAACAGTCTACTAAACAAATCGCAGAATTGGAAAAGGAAAAAAAAACACACAACTCTCTTTTTTTCTTTCTTGCAATTCTGAAGTGACCTCGTCCTAAAGAACACAATTTTCTTTATCAGAAGAAACGGAAACAATTTTCTCTAGTAAAATTCAATAAGATAGAATATAAGTATAATAGATTAAAACAAAATTTGAAAAAGCTGAAATTTACTTAAACGTTACTTTCTTACATCAATGAAAATTTGTACATCGCTAAATGTATAAAAAAATGTCCCCATGGCAACCCCCATATATATATATCAGGCAGTGGCAAAGTTATGAACGATTCAAAAAATGATAGACGCGCGTAATTTGTAAGAAAAGATAAATATATACTTTTGACCTTACGCCATATTTTTTTGAGTTATCTATCCATCAGAAAAAACACAGCAGCCCTGCTTCCCTAAATGTATAATTAACCAATTTTGCTGTTTCATGGCAAAAAGGGAGGACTTGCCCGCTAAGCCGGTTTAGAAAATATTATTATATAATATCATATTGTATTATAGTGTATTCTACTGTATTGTATTATATTGCATTATATTGTATTATAGTGGATTATATTGTCTTATATCGTCTTATATTGTGTTGTAGTGTATTCTATTGTATTATATTTTTACCCACTTATTAAAACCAGATAATGGCAAAACTAAACCTCTTAGAAAATTATTTTCACAAACTGTTAAGCTATGAATAAAAATATTAACAATGTATATTTTCATTGCATGAGGCTGAAAAAACGAAAAGAAATAATTGCCTACGTGCTATTTTGTCTATTTTATGTCAAAATTTTAATAAACGAAAAAATACCTAGTTTCTCTTTCTTTGGTAGTAATAATTTTCACATGCCGCAATTTGTACCAATCGGCGATAGTTCACTGCATATACTTACAAAAAAATCTTTATATTGTACGATGACATAAAGTACATATTCATAATAATGAAATAAAATGCAACATACAAAATGTGAATAATTATTGGCGCGCTGTTCTTTCCTTGCAGTGTTTTTTTTTTTTATCTGTGTGGATTCTTTTAAGAAATATATGTGGGAAAGGTCGGATTTTTTTTCCTTTTCGAATTTATTTTCTTATTCCCTAAAATGAAAAGTATTTGTTTCAATCATTTCTTGTAAGTAGAAAGTCAATCTTCTTTCGCCGACATGGAGATTTTTTCATTATGATAAATTTTACTCTACGAAGTGAAGAGTCATAATTGAATGCACCAAGAAAGAACAAGTAAAAATTTAGAAAAACGTCAAGACAAAATTCTAACTAAAATTATTGAACTAAAATTGAACCAAAACTGAACTAAAAATACGAAATGATAGATTCTGCATACCTCAAAAAGAAAACATTCACAAATTAGAAAATCCCAAAAAACACGATTGAAGAATTGGAAAGCCGCAAAAAAGAAAAACACGAATGAAAAATTAGAAATGCCCAAATAACATAATTGAAGAATTAGAAATGCCCAAAAAACAATAATTGAAAAATTATGAAACCCCGAAAGACCTGATTAAAAAAGTTATAAAACCTCGAAAAAAATGATTGAAGAAGGAAACCCGAAAAAATATGGATTGAAAAATTCGAAAACCCAAAAGAAAAAACTAAAAAAAATTATCCCTCCATAATGTAAAATTTTATTTATGCATATCATATAAATCGCATAAAATATTGCATTTATTTTTCTATGTCGGAATGCGAAATTATTTTTTTATTTCCATTCATTCAATATATGCATTAATATTAAAACAAAATAAGTAATAATTATAATATAATTTCCCCTCTTTCCCATTATACAAAAGTACGCCGCAAATGAATAGAAATATATCGGAATGTATTCATTTAAAAAGGAACCAAGTGCATAATAAA